CTCCCTCCCTCCCTCCCTTCTTTCTTTCTTTCTTTCTTTCTTTCTTTCTTTCTTTCTTTCTTCTTTCTTTCAGTAATGATTAGGCAGTCTGGAGAGAGTCCTGATAATCACACAAAGCTGTGGAATATGTAACACTGCCATGCAACAGCCACAGGCTTCTCAAATCTCATCTTGTGCAAACTGAGCTAACCTCTTTACATTTTCTTTCCTTGGTGCTCCCTGACACAGCAATTGTTGCCATCCTTGATCTGGATGTTAAGAAAGATACCTCTGGTCACCCCAGAGTCCAGGCTGACCTCTATACCCAGGCACTATCCACATGAAGTAGGTGCCTTGGTTTTCAATGTATACATCTTTACCCATTCATAATGCCAACCTTGTAATCCCCAGTCAATAGGTGAGTGGTGTGAGGCAAGACCCAGTATCCACATAGACACTGACAATTCCAGATCTGGAAGCTCCTGGCACCCTCTCATCTGGGCTGTGGTGACTGAATTCTGAGAAATTGTGCGTTCCCATTTGGAACTTGGAATTTGGAGTAAGGGTTGCAGAGAAACAGTGTTTGGAATTGACTCTTGTGAGTTGCACTGGCTGCAGCAGAAGCATTTTTATTTTCCCAGTGAGACAGGAGACAGACAGGAGGTGTGCAATATTCCAGCCAACAGCAATGCGAGATGCAGCCCTCATTTGAGTGGATTAGCTGGAAGTGGGGTCTGGGTCCCTTACCTTTGTTGCTTCAGTTTTGAATAACGCCTGTGCCAATTCTGTGAGCGAACAAGTAGAGCTACCTGATACTTGATTTTAAATTATCTGGGTGAGTCTGCCTCCCTCCCTCCCTCCCTCCCTCCCTTCTTCCCTCCCTCCCTTTCCTGTTCCTCTCTCTTCTGTCTCTCTCTCTCCCCTTCTCTCCTTCTTTCTCTTCTCTCTCTCCCACCCACATTCCTTCCCATCCTCCCTCCGACCCTCCCTCCCTTGTTTTTATTGAGACTGAGTCCTACTCTGAAGTTCCAGGTGGCCTGAAACTCACTATGTAGCCCAGGCTGGCCTCCTACTTGTGGCAATCCTCCTGCTTCAGCTTCTCAAATACTGGAATTTATAGACACGGGCCACCATACCCGGTGACTGGCTTGGTATCTGTTCATTGTAATTGAAGACTCCGACGAGGCCATCCTGTACAGAAAGCCCTCCTGTGTACGAGCCATGGCTTAGGATGTTCTGCTGTCAGCAGCACACACTAGCCTCGGGCCTCCTGTGCACAGTGTCAGAGACACTGGAGCTCCATCACTGCTGTCAGCAATGTCACTTGTGCTGCCGATGTGACCCCTCCACTATGTCATCCTCCCCTCCCAAGCTCCTCAGAACCCAAAGAAGACTCAGAAACACAAGCATGGGACGAAGAGGAAAGCACTCTTTTTGCAGAGATTTTCAAAGGGCTGGCTGGCTTACCCAATACAAATATGGTGAATTTTGGGAGGAGAAAGGTGCCCTAACCCCCCACAGTTTCTGTTGATGGTCTGTTCCTTGTGAGGGAAAGAATCATTGTTGCAGAGGAGCCTCAGATTTCTCCAGAGGATAACAAATCTCCAGCTCCAGGCTGGAAACTCCTGGCTGTAGACGTTCTTGCTCAGGATGGTAGCCTACAAAGACCAAGGCCCTTCCTTTAGTTACAGACTCAGCACCAGACAGGGAAGCCCAGCTTTGCTATTTGTCTGTCCTATTTACAGCAGTCGTGCTCAGTAAAGTCAATGAACACGGAATAAGTGGATACTGAGTCATGGTCCCCGGGGGAAAGATGTGGTTAGGCTCTCACTAGCTTCTGCTCGCAGCATTTCATTATCCAGTCAACATGTAACCTTCCTCTGTGTGTGTTTCTGTTTTAAGAGCCTTGCTTAATATGCGTAGTTTATTTATGAACAGTGAAGTCACGGCCAGCAGCCACCTTATATCTTGCTTGAACCAAACTTGTCTAATGCCTGGATCTTCTTTACAGGTCACATGGCAGCCTTCTTGCTCTTGGGAGCAGCGGACAACACTTGGGGAGCATCTGGTTTGAGTAGTAGAGGTACCACCAAGAGGGGTCACAGATCCTGACAAGGAGCTGCTGGCTTGCATAGGGGAGCTGCGGGAGAAGGCAGAGCATTTGCTACCTTGTTGGAGTACACCCATCTTGGGGTGTGCATGTCAGCAACCCAAACCTTTCGCCACTCTGCACAAGTTCAAGAAGTGCTCCAAGTGTTGATTTCAGGGTTATAAACCAATTTGAGTGTGTGCATGAGTGCACACACTTTGGCTTTCTGGTAGGGCAAGGTACTTTTTGTTCCCTAACTGTGGGTTGTGGAAAACTAGGAGCTAGTTCAGACTAGATGAGGTGGGCTGTACGTAACACCCTGTAGAAGGTGAGGATCAAGGTGCCATGTTCATTCCATGTTTGTGTCCTTAGTCCCGGCATGTGATGGCATGTCTAGACATTTAGGTCAGTGGCTCCCAACACAGAGTTCAGGGGCTCGGACCCCCAAAGCTACTTTCATTGAGCCACGATGTTCAAATGATTTTCCTAAATGCAAACTGCTGTTTGGCTCTTTCCCTCCCATTCCCTCAGGAGGACAGACTGGAGATTCCCAGCGGCTCTGGGATGGGTGATGCCTCTGCTCTGGTCAACAGGTTTATCCCGTTAGCATACATGTATGATTGAGGTTCTCAGTAATTTATCTTGCGATCAGAATAACTGGTCTTCTTTTCTCTGGGAAAAGCTGTCATGTGGCCCACTTAGGAGATGCACTTTTTCTTTGGTAGTACACCAACTTCTGTCCATGTCCAGACCTCCTGTGTTTCTGCTCTAACTTTCTGTGGGCCAATAAAGCTTTACTTCATGACCTCTGCCCCCTTTGTCTGGTGGCTCTCATTTGTCCTTTGGCCTCTACAGGTGACTTGCTGCCTCAGCTTCTCTTACAGCACACCATGGCTGCAGGAGAGAGGCATCCTGTTATGGCTCCTGCACTCCTCTCCAGCCCCTGAAAGGTGCAGCTTTTTTAGGCAGGAGATGCTTCCAGAAGTTCCTCATGAGTATGGTCTCTGGGTGTGAATGCATTTTTCATGTGTGTGCAGGTGTGACTGCATGAAAGTGTACATGCTTGTGAAACCTGGAGGATATCCTCAACTGTCCTTCCTCGTGGGCTGCCCATTTTGTTTTTGAGGCAGGGTCTCTCTTTGGCCTGGAGCTCACCAATTAAGCTGGCTGGCCAGCGAGCCCAGAGATCTACCTGTCTCTGCTTCCTTGGGCTGGGATTACAAGTACTTTTCACTGTGCCTGGCTTTTTTTTTTTTTTAACCTGAGTTTTGGGAGATCAGATCCTTGTGTGGTAAATGCTCTATTGACTGGCTTCTGCAACTGGGAGTTCTAAGGGATGAGGTGACTCTGGAGGGATGATATCTGTGTTGTTATGTTTTTAGTACCATATTCTACTTACTTCTATGATACTGGGATATACTGGCCAAAAGCAACTCAGGAAATGAAAGAGCTTATTTGGCTTACTGGTTACAATTCATCATCGAGGGAGTCCAGGGTAGGAGCTCAATGCAAGGACTATGAGACATGCAGAGCAGACTCACATCCATCTACCTTTTTGAGGTAGTTCAGGTCCACCTGCTTAGGTATCTTTCAGCTCACAGTGGCTGGATCTTCCTATGCCTATCACCAACCAAGAAAATGCCCTACAGACACACTGAAAGGCCATCTGATGGTGGCAGTTCTGTAACTGAAAGTCCCAAGTTCCAGGTGTATCAACTTGGCCACAGAACACACCAGGCCCCAGAGCTATGTGAGTTACCATAGTGGGCAGAGCCCCAGGCTGAGGATGCCTCATGATGTTGCTGATTCCAGCTCTGTGACCTGTTTCTTCTGCAATGCCATCTCCTCCTTTCTAAGCTCCTTCTTTCCACTTCTTCACCTGTCTGTCCTAATTTTTACTCAGCTTTATCCAAATAGGCAGCCTGGTGTATTTGTATCAATAAGAAGCAATCAGGACAGCCACAAACCCTGAAATCAATATATAATTGCATCAGTGTTCTTCTATCACCTCAGGCCTCTATGCACTGATTGCCACTGAGGCCTCGTGATTCTGGCAGTGGTTCCGGGCTCTGCTGCTGGCTTTAGTTGAGGACCATGTGGGAAGTTTACAGGCTAAGTGTAGGGAATCCCTTCAGGCCTGGGTTTTGCTGGGACCATTAGAGACCAAGGCATCATGTGATAGACATAATTAAAAGTAATAAATGTTTAAAATGCATATTTTTAAAAGCTCTACATAAATGTTAACAATGATAAGAAGTGAGCCCTAATAGTCAAATGGTGGTCTAAATATAAATAATAATTATAATCCTTAAAGATGGAGGAGCCTAGTGGGAGATGATTAGGTTGTGGAGCACCATCCTTAGGAATGGGTTAATGCCTTATGCAGAAACTGGGTTAGCTCTCTCCAGGGGATTTGATTTGCTGAGGAGGCAGTTAGTTTTCTTGGGACAAGTGTGAGACTTTTCCAGCTTCCCATCTCTTCTGCATAAGTGCTCCTCCTGCATGCTCCATTTGTACTTTCTACTTCTTCACCATGACTGATGCACAAAGCCAACTGGATAGAGCTACCCAACTGCAGATAGAGCTCTGAGCCAAATTAACCTATTTTCTTTTAAGCATCTCTAGCCTCAGTGTTACATCAGCAGAAAACAGAGTAGGAGACCCTGGAAAACTAAAAAGGTCTCTATTGCCTGTGTAGCACTTTCACACACATCATTTCATCTGGCCTTTTCAGAAAGTCCAGGAGAAAGACAGCATATAGGGTATTATGCTCACTTAGCAGATAAGAAGAGCAAGTAGCCCACTGTCTCTGTTAGTGTGGGACTAGCGGCACATTCCGGGGATTTTCAGTGCCTAGTTAGCCACCTGAGGTCAGAGACAGTTTTCTTGACGTACTGCAATGGCTCAAGGGTTGCCTTTCCTTCCCATGACACTCAACACTCCGTGTGACTGCCAGTGTACTCAGGCTGTCCCCTGTCTATGAAGACCAACACAATAACAACAAAACAAGAGCTCTGACTCAGTGAGTGTTTATGCAGCTTCAGGGCACGGTCCATAGTTGGTTATAACAGACTGCAGGTATACATGTGTACAGCAATTACTGTGTACTAAACTCCGACCCAAACACTTTACAAACATCAGCTTGTTCAACCCTCATTGAATCCTTTAGCAGGGAAGGGAACAAGAGCACAGGCAGGTTGAATTTTTTTTTTCAGTGATTAGACAGCTGGTGAGGGACACAACAGGGACTTAAATGTAAACGTGTGACTCCAGACCTCACTCTTGGACCCACTGCCACTCTAGTCTTGATTAAACACTCGGACAACAGCAGGTGTCATCAGCAACATCTTCTGGGAAACACATCTGGGGCAGAGAGTGAGCTCCTGTTAGATGAATGAATGAATGAATGAAGATTGAATGGGGAGCCTTCCAGCTGTTTTA